TGGTTGGTCAGGGCAACTAACGTGGCGTAACTTTTTTAAATTACATTTTGACCCTCAGTTTCTGATTTTTCTTTCAAAAATACCCCCAGAACCCAAATTTTCACCAATTTTCTCCAAAATTATTTTCAATTAAATCTCTAACTAATTTTTTGACCCTTTTATTATTACTATTATTATTATTTTCATTAAATCAAATTAAATTAAATTAAATTAAATTAAAATCATATAAATAATAATTATATTTATATAAAAATAATAATAATTAAATAAACATAAAAATAATTAAATATTGGGTGTTACACCCAGTACCCATTGGGAGGCATAGTAGACAGCTCAACATCTCGAATCGCCGATCTGGGTAAGGATCCCTTATTCTATTCTCTTTTACTGTAAATTGAGACTTAACAATGTATAATTTCATATTTTATGAAAAATTTAAAAATCTTAAAAATAATTACAAGTCACTAGTCTAGACAGAACATGTTAGTTCACAATTATCTTGATTTCCTATTTATTTTTCTGTACTGTCCTACTTGCTTGATTTTCGTATAGTACATGTTCTTAATTTATAGCTTCAATAGTTTTATCTAGTTATTTTGGTTATATACCGTCAACATGAATGTAGTTCAATTGATATGTGAATGTGATATGAGATATTGATATGCGTTGTTAGTTATTTATTGATAAAAATTTATATGTGAAAGACTTACTAGGTACCTAGGGAAAAGGTGGACAGGCCCAGTGCGTAGGAAATTCTACCGTGAACGTTACTTCAGTCGAACGAGACTGAAAATTCTCTTACCAAGAAAGTTTGGGAGATATGATTCACTCTCATACCGGATGAAGTATCGAGGTGATGGAATGTTTAGCGCCCATTATCGGACGGGATATGTGGATGACCGAGTAATTATTAAAATTAGTTATTGGATTCACGAGTAAAGGAGCACCTTTATAGATCCCTAAAGGTACTAGTAAGCAGGTAAAGAAGAAAAGTTATTATTTTTTATTTTTTTATGTGTGAAAGTGAAGAGTGATTTGGATATGGATTTTCATAGATTGTTTTGGAAAACTCGTTACGATAAGTTCGAAATAAACGGTTTTTTTTTATATTAAATGAATTTACTCAAATTAAATATTTAATTAATTGTTTTATGATTTTTATTAATATTCAGTTTTTCGTAAATATGATTAGCGTGATATTCTTACTGGACTAGTGTACCTTATCCTTTCATTAACTATTTTATATCAAGAGGATCAAGATCCAAATCCCGATCAAAAAGAGGGTTGTGAATAGTTCACTATCCAGAATCCCTTCAACTGTTAATGAAAATTGTTCTATAATGTTTAGTTTTTCGTTTTTCATTTTATTTATTTAATTTCTATTTATCTTTTAGAAATGACATTCTCATAATTCTATTGGTCATTTTAAATTATTGTATCAAAAATGTAAACCATAACTTTATTAATCGTTTACGTATTAAATTTATAAATTTATTTCTCTTTTAGTTACGGATCCTTACATTAGAAGCTATTTATAAGCCCCCAAATATCTGGTTTATTCCATTCTCAAAATCGAGATATTACTAATTATCTTTTGAGTGAATTATTAATACTTTCATATTTTTCAGTGATAGTATATGTTTGAATCAAACTATATAATCTGGATATGTTCTTATTAAAATAGTGATTGTATTGCTAATATTGTGTAAAACATAATTTAATTATTAAAATATATAAATTTTTATTCAAAATATTAATAGATTGAGAAATTTTATTAATATAAAAGAGTTAAAATTTTAAACTTATCAATAATACATATTATATATATATATATATATATTTACCTTCCATAGGGTAATAAAAGTCTTAAAAGTCAACCCTGAAATTAATGTTTCTATGACTTCTTCTTTTCATATTTACACTGATTTTCTTTATTCTAACTTTTTTGGATCTTGCTTCTCTGTTATTTTTATAACAAATTTAAACTGAAAAATCCTTAAAATTATCTTAGAATAAACTCATAAAACCCAAAAAATGGTAATCCTTTTTGAGATTGAATCTTCTTGCCAAGGATTTTTTTCTTAATCAGAAAACTCCAAAATTACACCTTGTTCCGAAAAGTAAGAGTTTACCCCATCCTTTTCAACCCCAACCGGAAGGGTCCCCATCTCCATTTCAGACGCGAAGAAAAGAAGGAAAAGCAGCCAAACTGTATTTAACAGATTCTATACAGGATTCCTTTTTAATTAACTGCCCTTCTTTTTCTTCTTCTTCTTCTTCTTCTTCTTCTTGAGGGAGAATCACTGTTTAATCTACTCATCCACTGATTTCCTTTCTGGGTTTCCTTTTATTTTTCTCCTTTTCACTGCATTTCTTTTTTCTATTATAATAAACAACATATTTGATCACCCACCATAACAACTCCTGCTGATTTCAAGGTACCCTTTCGAGGATATTTGAATTTCGATGAAAATGGACTTACAGCCTGATTCTTCAACCAGAGAATCTAAAAGGGTAACTATCAGTCTCCTTTTTTCAACAGATCATAGTCGAGGTTTTCTCTACTCTCTGTTTGGTTCTTGAGAAAGTGAAAAAGAATAGCAAGAAAATGTCTACTTCTGATTCTTTTTCTTTTTTTTTTTCACTTTCACTAATCTACTTCAGTTTGGTAACTTTCAATTCACTCCTTCATCTATCTAGGGCTACTTTTTCCTCTTTTTTTTTCCAGTTCCTGTTTCTTTTTCGTCTCCTTTTCTCTCTCTCTCTCTCTCTCTCTCTGTTTTATTTTGTTTTGTTGTAGGGAAGTGTAGTATATTACTTCTTTTAAAACGATTTTTTTTTTAATATCTATTTTTAGTTTTTACACTGTTTTATTAAATGTCCTGTGCAAAATAGAAACAGAGTTTTTCGCTGTCAGCCATTAAGCAAAAGGTGCAGGTGGGTCTCTGCTTGTATATACGTATGTTTTTGCATATACACTTTTTGGTTCATATTAACCCCCTTCTATTTAAATTACCCTGTTTCATAATTTTATGCTATGTTTCTCTTCTTCCTTAATTTTTCATATTACCTGTTGGTATAAGATTTCTACTCTTCTAAATAAAAGTCTAAAATAGACTGTTTAATACTATGTACATGTTCGTGTTGTTTTATGATGCATGGAGGATTGGACAAGAAAGTTCCAAATCTAAATTATGTTTGAAATGAACTGGTTTGTTTTTGTTTTTGTTTTTTTCCTTTATCTGTTTTTGTTTTATTACTATTATTTTTTTGCATAGTAGTCCCAATAGAATAATACTCTTTTTGGACTTTTGCTTTTGATTCTTTTTCTTTTAGAATGCTGCTAACTCTCTTCTTTCAATTTTGTTTTATTATATTATTCTTCCTTGATCGTTTTATCCACATGTTCTCCTCTTTGTTACCTTAACTACTTTTAAGAATTTAGTGATCATTTGAGGTTGTCAAGATTGTGAAACTTGTTTTGATTGTGGCAGAAATTTTATAGGACGACTCTCTGTCTTGCTTATCAGAGTTTTGGGGTAGTTTATGGTGATCTTAGCACATCTCCTATCTATGTGTACAAAAGCACATTCTCTGGCAGTTTACGGCCTTACCAAGAGGACCATGAGATATTTGGGGTACTTTCGTTGATTATCTGGACTTTGACCTTAATCCCACTTTGCAAGTACATTATCTTTGTCTTAGGAGCAGATGACAATGGTGAAGGTGCTAATAGTGGCTTGTACAAGTTTTTCATGCTCTTGTTCCTGTGAGGACTTGTTGCTTCTTTTTTTGATATTCATTAGTTATTTGACCTTTTGCAGGTGGAACTTTTGCTCTTTACTCATTGCTCTGTAGACACTCTAAAATGGGTCTGTTGATCAATTATAATTCTGCACATGAAAGTATTTCCTCCTACACCTCTGAGACATCGACCAAGGAGACAAGAACTAGCTTACTTATAAAAGAATTCTTCAAGAAGTACCGCAGCTCTCGTGTTGTCTTGCTGCTTGTTGTTCTTCTAGGGACTAGCATGGTTATTTGTGATGGAATCCTTACTCCATCAATGTCTGGTTTGTGTCCTTATCAGATATGTTTTAGGTTTCGCATATTATTGGTTTTAGATAGAGCATTATATATATATATATATTTTCTGCATCTTTCTCCATTGATGAGGTTTCCATGATTCTGTTTTGCAGTCCTTTCTGCTGTCTATGGCATCCAAATTAAGGTCCCAGATTTGCATGAAAGTAAGTCTTATTAGATTTTATTTCTCATGAATACATAATTTACCCAGAGGATGGTCATCATGGAAATCACTACATGAAAGTAATTACTTGAGGTTGACATGTGTCATACAGTTGGTTCTTTTGTTTTTTTTCTCCCCCCCCCCCTGCTTATGATTTCTGGGCAAGTTCAGATAGGCTGAAAACTGCAGCAAAGCTTTCAGCGATGGTCTGTCATTAGAGACTTCATTTAGGACCGTATATGTTAATTAGTTAATACTGCTCCCGTCTTGTATACAGCTATATTTCTTCTTTGCATTCATTAATTTCACACTTTTTCTGACTATTTTGTTATAGTCTTCATCCATAGTAACTCTCTTTAACTTGCTCATATACCAGATTATACAGTGTTCATTCCTGCTTGCATCATCTTGGTGGGACTTTTTGCTCTTCAGCATTATGGAACACACAGAATTGGGTTCCTTTTTGCTCCAATTTTGATCGCATGGTTGCTTTGCCTTGCTGGGGTTGGCATTTACAATATAGTCTGTTGGAACCATCATGTTGTCTATGCTCTATCACCCTATTATATATATAAATTCTTCCAAAAATCGGGAAAAGCTGGATGGAGTTGTCTTGGAGGCATTGTTCTGTGTGTTACAGGTTGGTTAAGTCTAAACCTGTGAATTTTTGTGAAGGCACATCAATTTTCTTTCTATTTGGCTGAAAAGGTGCAAAATGCTTTGCCAGGTGTAGAAGCTATGTTTGCTGATCTTGGCCATTTCTCCAAACTTTCAATCAGGGTACTTTGTCTCTTTCCTTCTGTTATAATTATGATGTGGTTAAATGTGGATTGCAGAAGATGGATGAATGAGCCTTTTCCTCTGGTATATCATTGAATCAAAGATTTTTAGATTGACTCCTTTATAAGAATTTTATTTTGAAGTTATTGATGTGAGTTTCTTGTAATTTAAATAGAAAGATTACAGGGACAAAATGAGTTATTTCTTATTCATATATTCTCTGACATTAAAATCTAACAATTACGTGTTTCACTTTTCTTTTTGCATTATGTTCCGTTTTTCTTTGGCTGTTGTGCCTGCTAGATCGCGTTTACAGTGGTTGTATATCCATGTTTAATTTTGGCATACATGGGGGAAGCTGCTTATCTCTCACAGCACAAAATGGATCTTCAGAGTAGTTTCTACAAGGCTATCCCACGTAACTACTTATAAAAGTTCTGGCATACTACAGTGTCTATTAGCTACTGTTTCATATGGAAGAACTCTTCTACATACTGGTGTGAAGCGAAATAATTCAGTCACTTTGCAGTTCAAGTTTTCTAATTTGTGTCATAATGATTTTCTGGCATGAGCAACTTTTAATTGACCTAGCAAACAATTCTTTAAGAAAAAATAATAATGTAGGCGTTTTTGTTTTAACCAAAATTGAAGAAAGACCAATTTAATCACCAACTCAGAAACTTTCGTGCGCCTTATGGTATCAGTTTGCCTCATTTTGTCTGTGTGTTCTTAAATATTGGGATATATCTCATTCTTCCTTTCAATTCTTTATTTCTCTCTTTCCACCCAGACAATATATTCTGGCCAGTATTCATCATTGCAACTCTTGCAACTGTGGTGGGAAGCCAAGCAGTAATTTCAGCAACTTTCTCCATCATCAGTCAGTGCAGAGCCCTGAGCTGTTTCCCCCGTGTCAAGATAATACACACATCAAGTGAAATATACGGACAGATATACATACCAGAGGTGAACTGGATGTTGATGATATCATGCCTTGCTGTTGTTATTGGATTCAAGGACACCAGTATGATTGGCAATGCTTATGGTTTGTGCATCTTAGTTCTCATCTCTATCTATTCCGCTTCCTCTATTTATATCTTGATTGTTTCTGCGTTGTATGTATGTATATATGTGTGTGTGTATTAATTCCAATGTTGTTCTCCACAGGCCTTGCTGTGATCACGGTGATGTTTATCACAACCTGCTTGATGTTTTTGATCATTAGCACCGTCTGGAAGCAAAATGTTTTTCTTTCGTTCTTGTTCGTGCTAATCTTTGGAAGCTTGGAACTTCTTTATCTCTCTGCATGCCTTGCCAAGGTACATAGAGGAGGCTGGCATCCGATTCTTTTGTCTCTAATAATTCTGTCCATCATGTCTAGTTGGCATTACGGAACGGCCAAGAAAAATGGATTTGAACTTCAGAACAAGGTATCTTTGGACAGCCTTCTGAATCTTGGCCTGGGACTAGAAATAAAGAGGGTTCCAGGAATCAGCCTAATTTATTCCAACATCTCCTCTGGCATTCCACCAATGTTTTCGCATTTTGTCGCGAACTTTCCTGCGTTCCATAAGATTCTCATCTTTGTCAACCTTCACTTTGTGATGGTCCCAAAAATCTCTGCTGGTGAGCGCTTTCTGGTTGCCCGAATTGGCTTACCAGAGTTTCGGATGTTTGGGTGTATAGTAAGGTATACTTTTCCGAGTTTTCCATTTCATTTTTACTAAAATGTTAAACTATTCAAGCAAGTTTTTGTTTCTAATTCATTCCTCAGGTATGGATACAAGGACGTGGATGATAGCCACAACTTCGAAACCCAGCTGATCGAAGAAGTCATGGAATTCTTGAAACATGAATCTAGTCGTGAAGAATTCTCGGTTACAGGACAATCAGCATTTCGTACCAGAGATTTAATGACAACAGGAAATGAGGCTGATGGTGGCAGAACAGGCCGGAGAAGAAAATTGGGATTGTGGAACTCTGGATCAAATGACGAGGTAAGGGAACTCATGGAGGCGAAGGAAGCTGGTGCGGCTTACATGATGGCTAATACTTATGTCATAGCAACAGAGACGTCATCTTTACTGAAGAAATTTGCAATCAACATTGTTTATGCATTTCTTAGAAGAAATAGCAGGCGTCCTGCAATTGCTCTTCGAGTTCCCCACACGTCATTGATTGAAGTGGGTATGGTTTATCGTGTTTAGTCTACAGCGTGAACCGGAATGGAAATCATGTTCGAAAGATGAAATGAGACATAATTCATTACTTCAGTTGCTGTCCATCTGTTTTAGTAGGTTCTATCCCATCTTAGGTTGTACAGCATTAGATATGCAGGAACCCTGAAGGTATAAAACATATGTATAGATATATAAATATAACACAGGAAAAAGAATAGATGAGAACTTAGAATCTGTTGATAGGTTTACTTGTACTAGCCTTCTTTAATCTATATCATGGCTGCTTACTAC